CCCCTGAAAAGACCCTGTGTAGTTTTGTCTGCATAACGCTGGGGGGGTGGGGCAGTGGTGGATTACCACATGGGCCCATGGGGCCTGTGTCCAGAGGCCACAGCCAATTTGGGGTCCCTGAAAAAATCTCCCCCTGCTGTGGCCCCAGGACTGGAGGAGCTTTTCCGGTCTCAGGGCCATGGGGGTGGGGGGCTGGAAAGGAGCAAACGGGGGGCAGGGCCACGGGGGAAAGGCAGAAGGGGTGGGGCCACGTCTGGAAGAGGCGGGGCAAGGGCTAGCCTCCCCAAGGGGAAGCTTCACCCGCCGCCCATGGTGGCCCAGCGCTCCAGGAAACCACCCAGGCTGCACCTCCAGTATCTGCCGGCGTCTCTCCTCTCGCTTGTGGGACAGGAAGGATCTCTGAGACGGTCACTCGTGGTTTCCTCTTTCAGCTCCTTTCCAGGATACCTGGGGTTCCAGTGATCTGTGAAGGGTTTTCTGAACCCGTGTCATTGTATCATCACCCAGGGAGCCTTGCCCGAGTCTCCAGACGCCCACCCGGTCATGCAGTGAGGTGTATGGATGTCGCTCCAGGATGACAGCCTGACATCCCGCTGGCCTTGTGGCCCCTGCTGAAGTCTTTTTAACACTGAGTCCCTGCTGAGGGCTGTTTGCCTTCTTTGGAGCATCTTTTGGGCCCAGTTGACCTCCCCAAGGATTTGGCCGAGAATCCATCCCCCAGCGTGTCCTGTTCAGACCCCGGTTCCTTTGCCACAGTTCAGATTTCCAAGACGTTCTTCTCACCTACTGCACTGAGCACCTGACAACAACTGGACACGTCTCTACGCTTTGAACTTCTCCCTGTTCTCTCTCCTCTGGTGGTCACACCCAGTTCTGCTTCTGGCTCTGGGAGTGTCTCCTCTTTCCCCTCTTGGTCACAATCTGCCAATTCTCCTCTTGGTTTTCCACCCTGCCCTGCTCCCTTGGAACCGATTCCTGTGTGTGGTGTGACGTGCAGCGATGCAGCCCGGCTGCCCAAGGACTCTGGTGGCTCTGATGTGACACGGGGCTGGTGACTGTCCCTCAGCACCAGGAAACTTTTCCTGCACTCAGGCCAGCAACCTGCGCACCTCATGCACAGGAAGTGTCGGTGGTCAAGCAGGAAACAGACCATGTGTCAAGGCTGATTCGCCACTCTGGCACTTCGAGTGCAGAAGGTGGGGGCCCACAAGGACTCTACAAATTAATACTGGTCACTCCAGGCTTGTATTGAACTCCCAAGGTTACAGCTTCTTTCTGACCTTGGCTTGGTAAACGCTGCCACCGCCCAAGTGCAACAAAACCCCTTGGAACCCAGGAAGGCACACTTGGGAATTCCTCCCTGTGGGGTGCCCTCAAGCCCTTTCAACCCCTCCTCCGGGGAAGAGCTGAGAAAGAAAACAAAGGAAATTAGCTGTGGTTACCAACTAATCAAACAACATGCACAACCCTCTTAGGGACACAAACACCCAATCCTGTTCTCAAAAAAGGTAAATTTCATTAAAAACAAAAGAAAGAAAATACATCTGGAATTTGGCATTTTGCTGGATTTAAAAAGAGCAATTCCAAAAATCAAGCACCCAAAATAGCTTTCTTGGGGGTTCAGCTTAAAGGTTACAAGCAAACAAAAGCATCAGGGGTTAGCACAGAGGAATCCACAAGCCAATAAGAAATAAAAGAAATAACCCTGATCGCGTCTAGCTAAACATTCTGATCTACGTACATATGTGGAGGTCAGACAAGTAGTTCTAGGCGGGATCTGATGATTTATGATCATACCTGGCTTAGCTGCTTATAGCATGGCTGCTCTGTCCCTCCAGCCCAGAGAACAACCGACAAAGGGGAAGTTTCTTTCCCAATTTTAAAAGGTTCTACCTTCCCATTGGTAGGCTACCGTGCCTGCCCGCCCCCCGCAGCCCTTGTCCCAAAACTCTTTCCCTTGTGCCCCCATGTCACCTCCAACCCACTTTCCCCAA